CACACACACACTCTCACACACACACTCTCACACACACACTCTCACACACACACTCTCACACACACACTCTCACACACACACTCTCACACACACACTCTCACACACACACTCTCACACACACACTCTCACACACACACTCTCACACACACACTCTCACTCACACACTCTCTCTCTCTCTCACTCACACACGCACACACACACACACTTCTTTAGTGTTCAGTTGTTTTCTGCTGATTTATAAGAAGTACAGAGCAAATAATTCACTTGGAAAATGTCTCCGACTTATCAACTCGAATGTCACATTTCACTGTAACTGCTACGGGAAGGGTAACTGGTTTTCTTCAAGATTAAACTGAGTATTTTTACTGCAGAGAACAGGCAGAATCTGCTGGGGAGCACAACAACATACACTTCTTTCTCTCTTTGTGTGGCAGTGCTTCTGTATCTTGTTTCCAGTTCCTAACTGTTGGCTAAGAACCAAACAGCTTCACCGTTAGACAACTTTCAGATTCCTGATCACCTGCACATTGTGGATCATGTTGCCATATGAAATAGAGTTCACAGCAGGTATTAAATTCTTTGCTGTGAAATTATGCAGCCATCTTGGTAAACTCATTTATTTCTTAAAAAAGAAAGTTGTTCTTTCTCATTGTAGACTACAGTATCTAAAGACATAAAAGTAAAAAGACATGTCCTTACATACTTGATCAGTTACCTTCCACTTGAATTTTAAAGATTGCAACTTGCTTATGGATAGTCAGTGAAGCTTGACTCCTGATACTCTGAGATTTTCACTCTTCTATTCCTGAAGCACCCTTCACCACACACTATTATCTGAGTGCTTTCTTCAGTTATAAGCACCAGAGGTAAGTATCTGAGATAGTAGGAACTGCAGATGCTGGAGAATCCGAGACAACAAGGTGCAGGGCTGGATGAACACAGCAGGCCAAGCAGCATCATAGGAGCAGAGGTATCTGTCAGTTTCTGTGTGTCTCCAGCCAACACACTTGAGCATAAAGTTGATGTCATTGAAATGCAAATGGTAAAGGAAATGGTTTGACTGTTATTGTTGTCTGTTTCCATGCTGCCTCCTCATGTGTTATTGAAAAGCCCAGGCACTTTGAGTGCTGTATCAGCGATTTAATAATTTTATATCTTGTCCCTGTGGATGTAATCAAAGCCAGATCATAAAGTTTATTTTTCAATGCAAGAGTATCACATTTTAACGGCAGGGAATGGTTGTGCAGAAAGTGTACCCATGTAGCAATTTTGGCAGCAAATTTAGTCATTGTTGGTCATGACTAATGCCAGTGACCATCCCTGAACCTATTTGTGAAGTGGGAGAACAAAACTGGTATTGTGATAAAACTGCATACTGTGTATTTTCATAGACGTCTGTTATTCAATGCAGCTTGAAAATTTGTTTTCATGTTTATTAGAACAAATACCAAGGTGTGCGCACATCTGTGACAAAAGTTTACAAGAAGCAGTCTTCAAAGAAAACTGTCCTGGCCGATGCTGCTCCTTATATTCAGATTGTATTTATTGATAATGAGACTGAGTCAGCAACAGGAAAGCTTGCAGCTGCACTGGCACAAGATGTTATGGAGGTTATCACTTCCCAAGGTAACTACATATCCACATGATTAAATTATTCTGCTCTGGGATACTTTGAGAAAATCCTGAAGTTGACCTGTGCTGTTTCTGTGTTGTGTCTGTGTTGCGCTGTTGATCTGGACTGGATATTTGTATCCTTCACTCTTTCTGATAGCCATCTAAGGAAATGGTCATGTGAAAAATAAAACAAGAGAAGCTGGGAATATGCAGCAGATCTGAGTGCATCTGCAGAGGAAAACAATCCTGTTTAGGATCAAATTACCTTCTGTCAGTATCCACAGTACTTAGCTTGCGTATCAGTGAGTAAAGGTTTGATTTAAATCAATGGACTGTTTTATTTCACAGTTAGGTGAACATACCAAGGATTGGATATGCATCATTTACACAGTGAGCGGGCGGGATCGGGGGGAGCAGGAGGAAGAGAAGACAACTAACTCGCCCTGTTCTCAGGAGCTCAGTCTTTGATTGTCTCATTGCATGATGGTCCCACTAAAAATAACCTGAAATCCACATTGTACGAGTCAAACCTCCACCTCTCTCTTATAGACTGTCGTGCTGTCCTCTTGTGTACAATGTTAAAATAAACGACCCCACAAAGCAACCATTCAAGACTAACATTATCCAGCAGGCCATTTAGTATTTAACATAAGGTTTTGGAGTAGATTTGTAGCTCGGGTTGTGGATGCTGTGGTTGGATGGCTCACCGAGCTGGTTCATTGTTGTTCCGCAGACGTTTCGATACCCTGCTGGGTAACATCATCAGTGCAGCCTCTGATGAAGCGCCGTAGTGTTTTCACGCCTGGTTTTTAAACGCTGGAGTCTGTTGAGCTGGATTATCTCACTTCCGGTTTTCCTTCGTAGTGGAGTGTATATGGAATGTATACTACACAGTATGCAGTTTTATCACAAGACAAGTTTTGTACTCCCACTTCACAGGAAGGTTCAGGGATGGTCACTGGCATTAGTCATGACCAACTATGACTACATTTGCTGCCAAAATTGCTACATGGGCGCACTTTCTGGAGGGTCAGCCTCCTTTTGCTGGAACATTGGCCCAGTTTTCCACATCATTCTTATGCCACCAAACCTTCAACTTTACTCTCCATGTATTCCTCTATTCTCCTTCATTCCAGCAGCACTCACGCTGCCACATCCCTGTAACCAGTGCTGGGCACACATAAACTCAGTGTCCTGCTGAGCTGGGAAGCCATTGTGCTGTGTACTTATTTTTGTACTGCACATTGTTTTCATTCAAATTAACAGGCAGCTCAAAGTTTGTGCCATTGTTACAAACAGGCCCAAATTAATCAGACTTTATGATTCCCAATCTTAATTACCAGCTTCATCTAATCACCTGACTTTATTTTAATGAACCTGAATACTCCACAAATTTAAGAACTGTTTTTTGTCCTTCAATCATTGCTGTGGAAAAACAAAGATTGTAACCTCTCAAAATATGATGCAGTGAATTACATTTCACACCACGATCCCAAAATGTGTTTGTTGATGGCTTTCTTTGTGGAGTACCAGGCTTTTAGGAACTCCCGTGCTTGTCTCTGCTTTGCTTGTCCCAGGATTTTGGTGTTGTCCCAATCGAATTCGTCCTGGAACAAGCAAAGCGGAGACAAGCACGAGAGTTCCTAGAAGCTTGGTACTCCACGAAGAAAGCCATCAACAAACACACAGAACTCGACCCCATATACACTCCATTGCGAAGGAAAACCAGAAGTGAGGTAATCCAGCTCAACGGACTCCAGAGTTTAAAAACCAGGCGGGAAAACACAACAGCGCTTCATCGGAGGCTGCACTGATGATGTTACCCAGCAGGGTAATGAAATGTCTGCAGAACAACAGCGAACCAGCTCGGCGAGCCAACTAACCACAACAGTATTCAATATAAAATTCAACTAATCACTCATGTGTTTTCTTGGTGTCTACCTTTTGAATGCTAGTGTTACCCCTGCAGTGAGAGTGATGGAAAGCTGCTCACTTTCATTAGGGAGATTAGGAAAATAGTTTTGAAAGGTAGCTTTGAGCAACAGTGGGCCTTCAGAGCCAGGCTTTAGATGGCATGGCTAACAGCATTTTGGGCTAAATGGTAACAGACACGGAGAGAGAGAGAGAGAGAGAGCGAGAGAGACGGGATAGCAGATTCCTGCACTAGTATCCTGCTCAATAGATGGCTCTTCAAAACTCTTGCTAGCTACTGGAAAACTGATTGTTGGGCTGTTGTGAGATTCTATAAGCCCCCCTTGAACATAGGTAGTCACAGCCATGATGGTACCAGAACTTAGATGGCACCCAAGTTAGGTTTACAGGGGAACAAGCTGAAGTTAGCATCTGTGTCCACTGCTGCACACAGATTGTGCGTGGTTTTTGCTTGCACTGTAATGGCAGCTGAGACAGTGACTACCAGACACTGTATCATGGTCTGCAGATCTTCTCATAGTGGGTCACCATTTCCACTCTGGCAGGATGCTCTCTGAGCTCTGCATGAAGATCTGTGCCAAGTTACAGCTGGATTTTTCTGTGCTTTTTGACCGTAATAGCACAGCGAGTTTGTACACTGCCAGTATCTGAGCTGCTGTCTGAGAGTGACAGATACAGTAAAGGTGGTTCTTTTTCATCAGTCTTGGCTTTTACTGAGATATTAAGCTCCCTGCACCTGTTCCTGACCAGGTTGGAGTTCTTGGGTATTCGAAAGAATAAAGGCACAAGGGTAAGGTAAGGCTGAGCTGGGGAGGGGTACAGCAAAATTTGTGTTTTTACACCATTTGCAGTTTTATTATCAGAGAGATCACTGGATAACTGAGAAGTGGGATATAAAAAGATTTTTCAAGTAGGAACTTATTCTTCGATCTCTGTGGTTTTGCTACACTACATTGCCAGCTAAATAGATGATTGCCAGCACAGTCCAACCCATTGGAATTGGTACGGAGGGGCATGCCTGACCTTTGCTAGTTAGCTGCTGCCACCACTGGTTATCTACTGGCCTGTCATGAAGTTGAGAGGGAAGTGTCAATGATTGTAGTGCAATGTTTCGGTCTTATGCCTTCCAAGGTGCATAGTTGGGCACTGTATGTAAGCTTTAAGGGGTGAATGTGAGACTTGTTGCAGTCAAAATATGCGCAGGTAAAGTTTGGCAATAAATTTTTTAAAGTGTTGGTAAGCAATTTGAAGGAGGGATTAGTGAATTCAGCATTGCATGAGGTTAGTGGTTGGCTTCTAAAGATATGAAGCTGGACTTTTTAGCTTAAATTAGGAAATGTGAGTCAGTATATACCCCAGCTTTGGAAACCTGAGCTCATCACATGAATCATAGAATCATAGAGTCCCTACAGTATGGAAGCAGGCCATTTGGCCCATCAAGTCCACACCAACCCTCCGAATAGCATCCTAACTAGACCCACTCCCTCTACCCTGCATTCCGCATGGCCAATCCACGTAACCTACACATCCCTGGACACTATGGGTAATTTCCCATGTCCAATCCACCTAACCCGCACATCTTTGGACTGTGGGAGGAAACTGGAGAACCCGGAGGAAACCTATCAAGTTATCCAAAAGCAGGAGAATTCAAGGCCCGAGGGTGGAATTGGACCTGGGCCCCTGGCTCTGACAGGCAGCAGTGCTAACCATTGAGCCACTGTGGTGCGCCATGTCTGCTTATATCTGACACTTTGTCCAATCACTTCTTTCAGAGGGCAAAATCTTTGGGTTTCCTGACTCCTGAGGCAATATCAAAAGAGTATGGATGCCAAGGTAGACTGGCTAGAGGGCCTGCCTTCTTTTGCTGGAACATTGGCCCAGTTTTCCACATCATTCTTATGCCACCAAACCCTCAACTTTGCTCCCTGTTATCCCTCTATTCTCCTTCATACCAGCAGCACTCACTCTGCCACATCCCTGTAACCAGTGCTGGGCACACATAAACTCAGTGTCCTGCTGAGCTGGGAAGCCATTGTGCTGTGTACTTATTTTTGTACTGCACATTGTTTTCATTCAAATTAACAGGCAGCTCAAAGTTTGTGCCATTGTTACAAACAGGCCCAAATTAATCAGACTTTATGATCCCCACTCTCAATTACCAGCTTCATCTCATCACCTGACTTTATTTTAATGAACCTGAATACTCCACAAATTTAAGAACTGTTTTTGTCCTTCAATCATTGTTGTGGAAAAACAAAGATTGTAACCTTTCAAAATATATTGCAGTGAATTACATTTCACACCACGCTCCCGAAATGCTGAAGCTTATTGTCAAAAAGGAACAATCCAGTTTGAAAACGAAATAACGTTCTGAGTGTTCTGAGGAAGGGTCACCGGACCTGAAACATTAACTGTTTTCTCCTTCACAGATGCTGCCAGACATGCTGAGCTTTTCCAGCAACTTTGTTTTTGTAACGTTCTGACTGCCTGATGTGTTTTAATGCAGGTGACATATTGGGAATTACAAACGCTGAACTCCAGGAAAGCACTAACAGTGAACAACAGGGTGGAAGAACCATGAATGATGGAGAGACAGTTGCGATGGTGGCTGGTGTTGTCATTGCTGTCCTGTTAAGTGGAAGCTTGATATTCCTCATCGTTTCAGGAAGAATGAGGTGAAATGAAATTCTTGTGGAATAGCAGAAATTTACAAATGTTCAATTCGAATTCGGGGAAAAAAGTACTGTGCTGTCCCTATTAGGTTGATTTTAACAAAGTACTCAAAAACTTCTGAATGTTACCACCTTTGGGGTAAAATTTACACCTCTGAGACCAAACTAGTGGAAAGTAGATGGATTTTTCTGCTATTTATGTTCACAGAAAAGTAGTATTTTCTAAAAGGTAAGCCCTGATGGTTGCACTGGAGGGTAATGTTAGGGGAAGGGGCTTACAGTTGTTTGAATGCCTGACTGTGTAGGTACTAAATGTATATACATTATTGATGTTCACAGGCCGATATGAAAATTCAGTGTGCACAGTTTGTCCAAGCAAACTCTTCTCCAAATGTGTCCATCACTCATTTGCCTTGAATTCTCCTGCTTCTGGATAACTTGATGGTGCCTTAAAGCTCTGTGTTAAGTTTAAGCACTCACAGCCTTGAGTTCCAATAATTAACAAATATGGCAACTTTCAAACATGAGGACTTTCGTCTTAATCAGAATTCTTTCAACCTTGTTACTTTTAGGATGATCCTCGATTATGGAGACTTGTTTTAGGAGTAGAATATGTTCTAATCAGTGCCTGTACTGATTGTAATGCTATTCAAAATGAACTGGGTGGTTTTGGGGATAAATTAATATGCTCACATTGTTAAAATACTGTCTGGTGCATCCTGCGTGGTTTACATGCTGCTATTTGCAAACAATTTTAAAGAGGATGGATCTAAAAATTTTGAAAAACTGGCAGACCAATTCAAATAAAAACTCCCACTTTAATAGGGTTTCAATCTGGCAGCTGGCCAATTAGGGTGTAGGGAAAAATGAAATTGGTCCCATCACGGTAACCCCATCGCCATTGTTTACTGATTTGCTTGATTGTACTCCACAGTCATAGAGCCACAGATTAATATAGCTTGGAAACAGACCCTTAGGTCCAACTAGCCCCAACTGACCAAGTTTCCCAAAATAAACTAGTCCCGCTTTGCATTTAGCATATATCCTTCCAAACCTTTCCTATTCATGTACTTATCCAAATGTCTTTTAATTGTTGGAACTGTACTTGCATCCATCACTTCCTCTGGCAGTTCATTCCACGAATGAACCACTCTCTGTGTAAAAACATTGCTCCTCATAGCCTTTCTAAAACTTCTTCCTCTCACCTTAAAAATATGTCCCCTAGTTTTGAACGCCCCCACTCTAGGGTAAATACCCTTGCTATTCATCTTATGTTTGTCGCCCATGATTTTATAAACCTCAGTAAGATTACCCCACAACTTCCTATGCTACAATGAAAAATGTCCCAGCCTGTACAGTCTATTTTCATAACTCAAAACCTCCATTTCTGGCAACACCCTGGTATACCTTTTCTGAACACTCTCCAATTAAATATATCCTTCATGTAGCAGGGTAACCTGAATTGCGCAAAGTACTCCACAAGAGGTCCCACCAACGTCCTGTACAACCTCAACATGACATCCCAACTTCGATACTCAAAGGTCTGAGCAATGAAGTCCTTTAATTGCAAAACTTAGACATTGAACACTGATGAAGGATTGTTTTTCCAATGTAGTCTTATCTCATTGGAGGGAAATTAGAGATTTTTGCAAGCTCTTCTGTCCCCTCGTGAAAAAGAGAGTTGATACTAGTCACTGCTTCTTTACCAGAGCACAATTGATGGGGACCAATCTAGATGCACCAACGTATATCCAAATACAGCAGTTGGCTTCTTGCTGTGACATGTTTGGCTGATGGGCATGCATTGTGCACAATGAAGCAGCTCAAATCTCTGCTTCCATCTATATCCAATTGCCATAAAATCATTGATGGATTTCACTGGCAACAGAACAATACATTAACAGGGCCCAGTCAGATCAGAACTAGGTAAGCCCAATATTGGAAAAAAAAACCTTCTTAGTAGCCAATGTTTAAAAGCTCAAAATGTTCAGCATTGGGCTGTTAGCTTTTGTGCAAGCCTCAAGAGTCAGGAACCAGCAGCACAAAGGCTGTTTCCAGCAGCTTGTGTCTTAAAGCAATAACTAACAGTCTCTGATGATTCTTCTATAGAGTCAACGTTCCATTATGTCTCATCTATTTGAAAAACTATTTTACTTTTGACCATGAAGTAACTATTGACAATGGATTCAGCAATGTGATATTTGGTTCACTATCCAACCTGCCGCATGTAAGTCCTTAAAGTCTGATTCTTTCTGTTGTGAATAGTAAAGGATATTTGAATGATACTCGAAGCATTAAGCAAATAAGGTCTCAAGGGACACAGTTAGTGTGTTAACAGGCTCAGTCTTTGCATGTATTTGTTTCAAGCTAGTGTTTAAGTGGTGAATTTCCTCAGAATATGAGGCAGGAGGCTACACCAAGAGATCATTACAAAAGATCAGAAAGTGCAGTTTGTTGTTGGGAAGTGTGGAAGAAATCTCCGTGCAAATAAAGTCCAAGCTTTCCGTGTGGGAGCTTAAGGGGCTCCTGCACTTCTTGCCTGACAAGAAATTAGATATTACAGAATGACATAATTGTGACAGTGCAAAATATGGCCATTTGGCCTATCATGTCTGCTCCAGCTCTCCGAATATTTTAATTTCATAGGATCATAAAATCCTTACTGTGTGGAAGCAGGCCATTCAGCCCACTGAGTCCAAACTGACCATCAAAAGAGCAGCTGACCCAGACTCACCCCCCTACCTTATCCCTGTAACCCTGCTTTGCCCATGACCAATCACCTAAACTGCTGACTGGCTCCATCCCTGCCTCTTTGACCTGTCTGTCTCCTCTCCACCTATCTTCTCCTCTATCCATCTTCTATCTGCCTCCCCCTCTCTCCCTATTTATTTCAGATCCCCCTTCCCCTCCCCCATTTCTGAAGAAGGGTCTAGGCCCGAAACGTCAGCCTTCCTGCTCCTCTGATGCTGCTTGGCCTGCTGTGTTCATCCAGCTCTACACCTTATTATCTCATCTTTGGATGAATCTTCTTTTCTTCCTGTAACCCTGCACATTGTGTCTATTTAATTAATCGTTCAGTGCCCTCTTGATTGCCTCAATTGGACCGACCTCCACTACACTTCCAGGAAATGCATTCCATACCGGAACTACTTGCTGAGTGAAAAAGAATTTTCTCAATGACAGGTTCTCTCCAATCCAGTCTGTAAAGAGTCCTCGTGATTTTGCAAACTTCCTCTTTCCAAAGGAAAGAGTCCCAACTTCTCCAATCTTTCCTCATAACTAAAATGTCTCAATGTTGGTTCCATTCTTGTAAACCTTTTCTACAATCTCCCCAGTGAGTTCACATCCTTCCTATATCATAGGCTTGTAGCTGGGCTTCCATTGCATAGCCTGCACCTCTCAACTAATTAAGTGGTTGTCAAACCTCTTCATCTGTGGATTGTTTAGGCAGGGGGGAAAAGATCAGAAAGACCCTTTACTGATCCTATCCCATCCATTTTCACTTGCTACGGCAAAAACTCATCAGAATTTAATGAGACCTAATTCATTGCTTTTTCATGACTAAATGTGACACATTTTTCAAAATTAATTATCTATGTAAATTAATAATTCATGCCAGAAACCAATTTATAGACATTTTCCCATTATAAATATTAATACTAAGGAGACCATGTTTATCTTGAAACTTTCTGAAATTTTAGTAAAACCATCACAATATATTTTCTTCTGAAAAGCTAATACTTACAGGCAAATCTTAAAGTAACATAAATGTCGTTTATAAAGTGACATTGTTATTGCTTTCACTTCTAATGCCTTGTACTCCACGAAGGGAGTTGTTCTGGTTTTATGATGTCAAGCAACTGGTGTAGATAATGATTCTTGTCTTTCCTCTTTTGCGGCCTCAGCCATGATGTTGTGTGTGAATGAACCTTTTGGATCAGGCCAAGGGTCTTTACAGATTACCAGTATGCCATGAACCACATGATTTAATCTAATATTATTAACATTATCAATTCCCAACTTTTGAACTTCAATGAGCTCCTTGTTTGCCTGAGACAAGGACATTACAAAGTTTGTTCATTAAATAGGGGGCCATGCAGGGTCAATGAGAAGGTGATGAGTGTCACACTGTGGTCACCCTAAGCCCACAGACATCCTGTTCTGTTTAAAATCATCACTATATATTTTCTTCCGAAAAACTAATACTTACAGGCAAAACTAAAAGTAACACAAATGTTGTTTATAAAGTGACATAGCACTGCTGCCTCACAGCGCCAGAGACCCGGGTTTGATCCCACCCTCGGGCGACTGTCTGTGTAGAGTTTGCACATTCTCCCTGTGTCTGCGTGGGTTTCCTCCGGGTGCTCCGGTTTCCTCCCACAGCCCAAAGATGTGCAGGCTGGGTGGATTGGCCATGCTAAATTTCCCGTAGTGTTCAGGGATGTTTAGGTTAGGTGGGTTAGAATGGGAAATGCAGGGGTAGGGGAATGGGTCTGGGTGGGATGCTCTTTGGAGGGGTGGAATGGACTTGTTGGGCCGACTGGCCTGTTTCCACACTGTAGGGATTCTATGATTCTTTGAAACCTGGTCAGCATGGACAAGTTGGGCCAAAGGGCCTGTTTCCATTCTGTATGACTCTATTTAATATAAAAAAAAGGTCTCAGAAGGTGACTGCCTGACAAAATGTATCCCAGCAACACCTGCAGTGGAGAGTGTGTTTGCATGATATTTATAAATGATGTAGGTGAGAATTTGGGAGAGATAATAAGTAAGTGGATTACACAAAAAAATGAGCTGGGTGGGTGACAGTGAGCAGGAAGGTGTTAGGTTACAGGAGGATATAAACAGATTGGTCAGGTGAACAGATCAATGGCAGATGGAAATTAAATATGATAAAACCTGATAAATATACAATAATGAATTTTGGAAGAAGGAACCAGACAAGGGAGTACTCAATGAATGGCAGGGTGTTAGGAATCTCAGGAACAGAGGGACCTTGAGGTGCTTGTCCCTCAAGATGGCATGCCAGGTTAGTAGGGTTGTTAGGAAAGCATATAGAGCATTTGCCTTTACCAGTCATGGCATAGATTATAAGACCATGGACCCAAACAGAACTTTGGTTAGGCCACAGCTGGAGTACTGTGTGCAGAAGGTGACCAAACAGGTGGATGAGGGTAAAGCGGTTGATGTGGTGTATATGGATTTCAGTAAAGCGTTTGATAAGGTTCCCCATGGTAGGCTATTGCAGAAAATACGGAGGCATGGGATTGAGGGTGATTTAGCAGTTTGGATCAGAAATTGGCTAGCTGTAAGAAGACAGAGGGTGGTGGTTGATGGGAAATGTTCATCCTGGAGTTCAGTTACTAGTGGTGTACCTCAAGGATCTGTTTTGGGGCCACTGCTGTTTGTCATTTTTATAAATGACCTGGATGAGGGCGTAGAAGGATGGGTTAGTAAATTTGCGGATGACACCAAAGTCGGTGGAGTTGTGGATAGTGCGGAAGGATGTTGCAGGTTACAGAGGGACATAGATAAGCTGCAGAGTTGGGCTGAGAGGTGGCAAATGGAGTTTAATGCGGAAAAGTGTGAGGTGATTCACTTTGGAAGGAGTAACAGGAATACAGAGTACTGGGCTAATGGTAAGATTCTTGGTAGTGTGGATGAGCAGAAAGATCTCGGTGTCCATGTGCATAGATCACTGAAAGTTGCCACCCAGGTTGATAGCGTTGTTAAGAAGGCGTACAGTATGTTAGGTTTTATTGGTAGAGGGATTGAATTTCGGAGCCATGAGGTCATGTTGCAGCTGTACAAAACTGTGGTGCGGCCGCACTTGGAGTATTGCATACAGTTCTGGTCACTGTATTATAGGAAGGATGTGGAAGCATTGGAAAGGGTGGAGAGGAGATTTACCAGGATGTTGCCTGGTATGGAGGGAAGGTCTTATGAGGAAAGGCTGAGGGTCTTGAGGCTGTTTTCGTTAGAGAGAAGAAGGTTAAGAGGTGACTTGATAGAGACATACAAGATGATCAGAGGATTAGATAGGGTGGACAGTGGGAGCCTTTTTCCTCGGATGGTGATGGCTAGCACGAGGGGACATAGCTTTAAATTGAGGGGTGATAGATATAGGACAGATGTCAGAGGTAGGTTCTTTACTCAGAGAGTAGTAAGGGCGTGGAATGCCTTGCCTGCAAAAATAGTTGACTCACCAACTTTAAGGGCATTTAAATGGTCATTGGATAAACATATGGATGATAATAGAATAGTGTAGGTTAGATGGGCTTCAGATTGGTTTCACAGGTCGGCGCAACATCGAGGGCTGAAGGGCCTGTACTGCGCTGTAATGTTCTATGTTTTGGTCACCACACTATAGGAAGGATGTGATTACATTGGACAGGGGTGAAAAGGAGATGTTGACCAAGATGTTGTCTGGGATTGAGGATTTCAGCTTTGAAGAGAGGCTGGACAAGCTCAGGTTGTTTTCTTCAGAGCAAAGAAAGTTGAGGGGGGAGATCTGATTCAGTTGTAGAAGATTATGAGGATGAATAGAAAGCAGCTGTTCTCTTATTTGAAATGTCAATAACAAAGGAGCACAATCAAGAACCATAAAGTAGCATAATTTTAAAGTGAAAGCCAGGAGGTTTAAGAGGGTATTTGAGGAAAACCCAGAAGGTGGTAGAGGTCTGGAATGCACTGTCTGGGGGAGTAGTTGAGATGGAAAGCCTCAGAACCTTTAAAAAGTACTTGCACAAACACTTGAAGTGTCTAACATTCAAAGCTATAGGCCTAGTGTGGGAAAGTGGCACTAATATAAGTAGTAATACATGTAGTCGTACATACTTGATGGGCTGAAGGGCCTCATCTGTACAGTATGATCCCACGATAGTTCATCTTAAGAGTTTAACCCTTGTCTGTTATGAAGTGAGCCACAATTGGAGACATTGTTCTTAACTGCCCTAGCATTTTGAACTATCCAATAAAGCTGATACATGAAATTGAATGCTTTTTTTGCTGTTAATGAGTGATTCCATAGTTCAGACATTTTCCTTGTACGCCCAAAGTTTTCAAGACTTTGGAGATGTACAAACATTCACCAGGACCACACGAGGGATGTGGGATTTCAGTTACATGGAGAGATTCGAGAAAATGGGATTGGTCCCTTTCAAGCTGAGATGGTCAGAGGGAAATTTATTGAGAAATTTTCAAAATTGTGAGGGGTTTTGACAGAGCAAGTTGAGAGAAACTATTTCTTCTGACAAACTGGCTAATAAACACTGATGATGTCGTTAAAATAATTGGCATCAGAGGTAAAGGGGAAATGAGAACCTTTTCAAAACTGAGAACTACCAAGATCTGGAATGCACTGGTGGTATTGGATTCTGTCCAGGCTCACCAGACAGCTCTTATCTGCACAGTGTCTTCATTGAGGGCCCTGTAGAATACGTGTGCCTCATGGTAGAGGCCACATGACTACAGCAGATCAAAAAGGACATGTGTAAGTGATTGCATTTCAATACAAACAGATTCTATAGGAGAACTTTGATAGACGACTGGACATGTACTTGAAGTTAATAAATTTGTATGATTTAGAACGTGGGACTAAATTGGACAGCTCTTTAAAAGAGCCAGCACAGGTAAAATGGGTAGAATGGCCTGTTCTTGTGCTGTAAGATTGTATGAACATACAAATTAGAACTGAAGTATGCCATTCAGCCCTTCAAATCTGATTCACCGATGAATAAGATCATGGGTTATCTCTTGGCATTCTGAATTCCACATTCCCATCTCTCCCCTCTAACCTTAATTTCTTGTTAGGAAGGGAATCTATCTATCTCCACCTTAAAGATATTCATTGACCCTGCCTCCACAACCTTTTGAGGCAGAGTTCCACAGTCGCACAATCATCTCTGTTCTAAATGGTCCTTAAGTTGCAACTGTGCGCACATGTTCCAGATTCCCTTCCAGGGAACATAACCTCTCAGCTTCTACTTTTCAGAGTTTTGTAGGTTTCACTGAGATCACCTTCCAGAGCATATTCCCCAATTTATTCAGCCTCTTATCATGGGTACCTATCTCAAGCCAGGGACTAAACTGGTGAATATTCACTGTACTGCCGCCAATACAAACATATCACTCGTTAGGTAGGGAGACCAAATCTATGCACAGTACATCACATGTGGTCTCACCAAAGACCTGTACAATTACAGTAGACTTCTTTATTGCTGTAGTCCAATCTCCTGCAATAAATGTGACAAAATGTGACAGTATAGATTGCTGTCCCTTGTCTTTGCCACAGTATCTAGCATAGCCGAGGATCAGGAGAGTGGTGCCATCCGGCCTATGACCCAGTTGCATTAGGGTTAGGGATAACTCAACTTGATGTTGGTTTTTCATTTTACAAATGTAGAATATTATCAGAGGTTTTGAAACCATCTGAACTAAGGCAATTGGAAGGTATGTCCAGGGCTCAAACCTGCAATGTATGATATATATTTTACATTAGAAATGGACATGTCAACTTTTATTCAGCAGTCCAATGATAATAGGCAACATGTACATGGATAGCCTGATCCAGACTAACTTCTTTTTGCTTTTGTAGGATTCTAATGGCATCTGTTCTGGAGAACAAACAATAAATATTGTTCCATATCAGTCTGGAACCAATATCATTAATCCAGCCTTTAACGAGGAAAATTGTTAAAACTTTCTTGCACGTTTGTCTGTCTTTAATATTCTAAAATCCAAGGGAACTTGCAAAAAATCATTTTACCTCTTCACTGACCAATCATCTGAGGGAAATTTATACGTCAACCATAACTGTAGAAAATTTTATTAATTTCATTTTCAGTTAAAGTCTCAGCAATGAGAATGGTTAGGACATTCAATGATATATAAAGGTTTTTTGTTCCAAAATATTTTTAAAATGTCTTAACATTTTGATTTTCAATCCACTGACATCAGTTCAGCTAAGCAGCTGCCTATCAGAAACTCTATCTCGCCATTGCCAAGTACAGCTCGTGAACATGCAGTATGCTGTTTACTTTCTGTCTGACGGTAAATATTCTCTTCCAGTCTGACTAATTCACTTAATTGAATGTTAGATCGAACTAAGAAATTGAAGTTAACACAATGAATTGAGTCATTTATTGTCACGTGTATTCAATATAAAAATACAGTGAAAAGTGTGCACCTTCGCCATGCATACATGGCACCATTCACATTAACTTTGAATAAGGAAGGAAAAAAGCGATAACTTAAGAGAATCCAACTTTCACTAATTATTTGGCCATGGAAAGGAAAGAAAACATCAACAGATTGATAGCGACAATGGAAAAAAATAAACTGAATGACATGCTAATTTGGAAAGTCAGAAGGAGGAGCAGCAAAAGACATTTTTTGATTGGTTTACTAAACTGACAGAAACTGGGTTAACTTTTCATTTATCCTACAATGGCTATAATGAATCCTTCTAATCTTGAAGCTGGATTATCAGGATTGGATGTCAGCTAACTGACTTTAATTCTTCTGATGGTCAGACTCAGTCCATATTCATATTCTTTTATGATTAAATTGTCAGACTAACAAAGACAAATGTCTCCTTCCAACAGGGAAGGACACCAGACATTTATTACCTTCTTGATTCAAGCTAATGCAGAGGCTAAGCAGTGAGGCTGTTCCTTTGAACCATGAACAGACATTTTAGCATTGCTTTAATTATGTTTGACTATTTGATGTAAATTTTATCAAATGCATATGGCTACCTACAATGAGACATAATTATTTATCTGTTTATGATCCCTTATCCTCAGATACAGATCAGTGATCAAAGAGACAGATACACACAGACTTTGTGTGTTCTAAATACATTTTATGTTGAACTAATGTTTTTAAACAATGGTTAAAATAAAATCATGATTAATGCTTCATGAAAAATGTGCTATTTTAATCTTTTTACTTCCCTGAGTAGTTTTGTGATTCCTGACCCTGTTTTCACACACCCTGACAGAAAATTTTAAAAGTTATAAACCTAGTGTCCAGCTTTTGTCTTTGTGCAGTTAAAAATGTCAATGTAATCTGTCATCATCTTTACTAAAAAAGAATAAGCTCCTTATTGCATCAGATGAAGCCATTAATGTCAATCTGACTTTTCTCTCATCATTGTTAAGGCTGGGGCCAAGTATTTCCATTGTGTTGGTCAGTGTTTATGGGAGAAACATTGTACTGATTTGCCATTGTCTTCTGCAGGGTGGGGTTGACTAGGAAACTCTCGGATGCTTACCATCTGCCATCAGGAATATTGGAAGGATTTATAAACTGAAAATCAACTTCCTTGTCCACAATACAAACCTACCCTCCAGGGCAAGCAAGTCGTCAAACCCAAGTTCCCGGCCCACTACACCACAAGACATGCCATAAAGGAAATTAGATAAACCATAAGATTTTTCAGTTTATTGTTCCTGTATTAAACACTTGTTCCACTGAAGTGGTGCTTAGATTGTTGAGTGAGCCCATTCCACTTTCTTTTCAAATTTAACCACTTATTTTTAAAACAAAATGCTCCACAAATATTTGAAAGAAAGTACTCCTGTTTTGAAATGATACCAAAGGTACTTCTATCACCCGGGAGAGTAGTGCAAAACAGTCATCAAAATCCACAGTCAACATCCTTGGATTTTGGCCCAATGAATTACAGAAAAAAAAGGACACAACTGGGAAGAATGTGTGATTGGTTGTTCTATAGGATGGCTCTATAACTCTCCTGTGAAACTTGGCAAATATTTTATTTATACAAAGATGTTTTTGAGCCATGATTCTCTCTCAGATTTTTGTACAATATATGAAGGAATAAATGATATAGTATTTGTAGATAGGTTTACAGGCTTAATACGGCAACTGTTGCTCTAGATTTCTGCTTAGATATTAGGGGAAATGTCCTTTGTGAACTGCTCCTCAGTTTCCATTCTAGCCCGAGAGCTACACAATTTAGCTCCCCTGATACCCTATTCCTTCCTTGCTTATCATGAATCTATCTACCTCTGCTTTAAAAACATTTGAAGACTGTTTCACCACCTTCTGTGATAGCTCCAAAGAGTTAGGTCTTTTTTCCAGGAGGATCCCATCTCTTCATCTCTGTCTTAAATGGTTAACTCTCATTTTTAAACAGTGACCCCCAGTTCAAGATCCTATCACATACGGAAACGTTCTTTCCATATCTAGCCTGTCAACATCCCTCAACCAATGATTCAATCACATCTTCTGTTGAAGTAAGAGAACAGACACAAGACTAGTCTGTCCAAAACTTAACTTTATAAGACAACCTACCCATTACAGGTATTAGTCTAGTAAACCTTCTCTGAACTGTCTCTAATGCATTTTGGTATCATCTTATATAAGGAGATCAATGTTGTGCACTATATTCTAAATGTGGTCTCATCAGTGCCTTACATTACAGAACCTCCCTGTACTTTTTATTCAACTCCTCTTTTAATAAACCAGAACATTCTATTAGCTTCTCTATTTGCGTGCTGCATTTGCATAGACACCTTTTGTGATTCATGGACAGCCCCCTCAGAATCTTCGAGCTCTGTAATTCCTAAACCGGATAGATAGTAGGCTTCTATTATTATTTTGTTTTTCTTACTTTTCTGCCAAAAACAAACATGTAAAACAAAAAAAAAATCTTGACCACTGTTGAAAATAGCATGGCATAGCAGCGCCACTACTGGATAGTAATATGGGCCTTTGGGGGATTTCAAGGCTAGGGGGCATATTTGTTAGGGGAGAGGAGAAAGATTTAAAAAGGACATGAGGGACAATTTTTTTTTACACAGAGTGGTTTGTGTGTAGAATGATTTTTTAGAGAAAGTGGTGGATGTAGGTACAGTTACAACATTTAAAAGATCATGGAATCCCTACAGTGTGGAAACAGGCCCTTTGGCCCAACAAGTCCACATCGACCCTTGGAGCATCCCACCCAGACCCATCCCCCTAATCTACACATCCCTGAACACTATGGGCAATTTAGAATGGCCAATCCACCTAACCCGTACATATTTGGACTGTGGGAGGAAACCAGAGCACCTGGAGGGACCCCATACAGTTACAGGGAGAATTTGCAAACTCCACACAGGCAGTCACCTGAAGGTGGAATTGAACCTGGGTCCTTGGTGCTGTGATGCAGCAGTGCTAACCACAGCCACTGAGCCACCAAGCCACCCCTTAGATAAGTATTTGGATAAGTACATGAATAAGAATTGTTTGGGGGATACGGGCCAAGTGCAGGCAGGAGGGATTAGTTTAGTTAGGAATTATGGTCGGCATGGACTGGTTGGACCACACGATCTGTTTCTGTGCTGTATGACTCTAACATTTACAAAAGACTGGGAACACTAGGCCAAATTCCCTAGTATGAATCAGAAGGCCACAGGTGTCCTATCGAAATTTAGCTTTTTTTTAAGCACAGAATGGAGTTGTGCTTTTCATATTTACTTACTGCAGAGCTAGATGAGCAAGGAGTGAAAATAAAACAGCCACTGAAATCAGGAGTTGCATAGGTTAGCACTTCAGTCCTGGCCAAAGAGGCCCTGAAAGATCCTGCTAAGCTATGGGGAATGCTGAAGGATTAGCTTTGTGTAAAAGTGAACTTTATAATTCCAGTCTCGAGAGCTGGTAGCTTCCAGCCACAGAATCAGTTGATCAGGAGGAGCCATGAAATGGCAAAGATTGATTTATCAGAGGCTGTGCTGTCTGAATGGATAGTGCAACTGGTTGTAACACCAATATCAAAGTTTTCTGAATCTCCTTGGAGAAAAAGAAACATCATGACATTTGCGACATCACTAAAAGGTGGTATAAAATATAAAGCCATTGTAGCTAAGCAACAGCATCTACATGCATTATCAAAGTTAAATCCCTGTACTTTTATGAGAAGTTGTTGTAGACTAGGTGATGCATTCATTAGTGGTTTGAGCCAAATCATTTCTAATGGTTTGTGAGTGGTTTCCTACAAGCATGTGGAACAGTTATCAGTATTAGTACAAAGGCCAGAATGCAAAATGCAAACAAATTGTTTGGGAAATGGAGTTGTCTTTCATTCCAAGATCTTTGCAATCAAGCCATGCAAAATGACACTGAGCTTCCTATATAAGAAATCTGCTTTCAAAAATACAACCAGAGGTTACAATAGGGCACTGCCAAGCAAAACATGACATGTTGGCAGGAACAGGCAGTATACTAGAGTCGTGCATAAACTTGCATACATATATATGCTGCAAGATTGAATGTAATACAATGTGTAGAACAGGTCAATTAGTTAACAGATTTTGGTACTATTGAGATCGTATAATTGAATTGACAAATGCATGGCCAAAATTCATGATGGGAGGTAGTGAAAACATCGTAAGAGTCAGAATTCTGAAGGAAGTGTATCTGGATCATTAGCAGACAGTGATATAACTAACACTGGCAATATTAACTGCACAGAAGCCATAAATATTTTACCCTGTGGCTATGAATTGATGACCAATTGCAGGACCACCAGTGTGTATGCAATTGATCATGGTGACCATTCACAAAGTCATGAAGTTAGCTACCAAAGCAGAACAGGTCAAGAATGCATAAATTGAGTCAGTCAAGGGCTAACATACACATAGGAATGCCATAGGAAACTTCAAAGGTGATACTGTCTTGCACTCGAAAGAAGATGCAATTCTATCAGTTAACTCACCCAGAGGGTGCAGTGTTCAGACACGAGAGTTTGAAAACCAACATGGAAGATTTGGTGTGTACGTCAGCATACAGACCATTAGGTGTAAGCTAATAAAAGCCTGAAATATATTTTTGGACCCAAGATCTCTAAAGCTGTCTCCAAAGAGAAGCCCAAACAAATTTCCAATATTAGAAGAATTCAATCCCAAATTCCATAGGAGCTAAATTCTTTTCCAACCTGGCTGCCAAGTGTGGATATTGGTAAAGGAATCTCCAGAAATTATTACTTTCAGATTATTATTTTTAAAGCATACTGCTTGCAGAGACTAACTCTCAAACTATCTGTCAGTCAAGATCTCTTCTTGCAACAGAATCACAGAAAATATTGCTGGATGTGTTTATTTTGCTGATGGTATTGTAGTGTTGGACAAAACCAAAGATTTTGTCCAAAATCTACACTTTCAGATGGCAGCAGCTGGTCATTGAGTACTCTCTTTAACAGCAAGAAATGTTACGTGAGTGCAGATCACCGTTTTAGCTTTATTTGTTCAGGTTATGGGATCTCTCCTGACCCAGGCAAAATTGATGACGTATGACACATACCTATTCCTCAAGCTAAAGAAGATCTGTACAGACCTCTTTGTTTTCGTTTAACTTCCTAACTACATATGTGCCGAGCATTTCCAACCAAGCAGCCCCATTGTGGGAGCTCTCAAAAAAAGACATCCTGCATGCAGGGCAGGAGAATCATCAACACATATTCCAATTGCTTAGGCAAGCATTGTCAGCAGAAACCTGTATCCTAGAGTAAAGTGGCTCAAGGAGGAAGGCAGTCCTGGGGTTGATGATCTCAGAAAGGACTAGGAGCATGCATCATACACACTGCCAAGCGAGGTGCCTTTGGATCAAAAAGTTAAACTTGCTCTGTTGTTTGATTTTACAAGATTTCATACATGCCTGTTTGATAAGCAATTCACTGTGGAGACCACTCAGAAACCATTAGAAATGATTTGGCTCAAACCACTAATGAATGCATCACCTAGTCTACAACAACTTCTCATAAATGTACAGGGATGTAACTTTGATATCTAC